TATATATATATATATTTGGTTAAACCTACACGCAAAACGTCGTGGTTGTAAAATGAACTCTTTTTGGCGAATTACATTATTGATTGTCAAAAACAAGGCTCTTTGTGTTTTATTGTGAATTCCATGTGACGATGATATACTTTCAAGATTCCTGTGTGTTTCTTTAATTGTAAATGCTGCAATGCATTTTGTGACGCCGGCGCCGGGTGCTTGCAGCGTCGAGCGACCTCGTGGTTCCCGCGGGCTGCACCGTGGTGGTGGGCACGTACCGCGTGCACCGCCGCGAGGACCTGTACCCGCACGCCGACGCCTTCGACCCCGACCGCTTCCTGGCCGACGCCGAGGCGGCGCAGCGCCGCCACTACTACTCCTTCCTGGCGTTCAGCGCGGGCCCTCGCAGCTGCGTCGGTAAGCCCCTCCACCTCCACCTCCACCTCCACCTCCCCCGTGCATCTGCGGTGTATCGAGTGGATGTGGAAGGGGCCGGAGATGATAACTTTAATGTCAAAGAAAACTAGGTGCTGGTGTATCTCATGTAACGAAGTTACATGTCGCCCCTCCAGTAGAAAAGTGACACAAGTGCGAATTTCTGATTTCTCAGAAATTACAATTTTAAGTTTCGTAGTTCTGTAATACTCGTTATACATTGTACCTAACAATCACTCTCTAGCGGACAGTAATTGAACTAATTCAAAATCAACTTCAGCCTCTTATCATCTTTTAGCTGCAAAATGACGATTTCGCACTTGTGTCACTTTTATATTGAAAGTGCGATATGTTATTTGTCCCTGATGGGTAGGCAGCTCATCGTGCACTGTTTTTTGGCAGGTATACTTGCTGATACACAGAGCCTTCCTATGTATGCTATAAACCAGTGTAAGAAGAGTCGTTTATTAATCAGAGGCAAATGTTATTCGTGTAACTTAATTATATGAGATGTCCCACCATATGTACATTGGTAAACAGTGATCATCTTTGACCTACAACATGCCCAAGAAGTTCGTCATATTTATTCTGAGATGCCTGTATTTAATACACTACGCGAATATGAGGATTTTCGTTCACTTATTAGAGACATAAACCGAAACTTCCGTAAGCATCCTACAGCTGATCAAGAAATTACTCCCTAATCCTGCTTCAAACATATTTTTGACAAAAAAAATAGTCTTAGATTGTGGTACAGGAAGGTACCTCATGCAACCCGCAACACACGTGTTTCAACAATGACTGTTTACAAAGCTAGGAATGTTCGCAAGCGTCCATTGTTTTCTTCGGACCTAGGCCTGGGATCTAGGACCTTAGGCCTGGGACCTATACCTGAAACGGATCAGTCGTTTAATAGATAGATGATAATTAAGTAGAAATGACGTGAGGTCGGAGCATCAGTGAAATAGGCCGGGGAAACGGTTGAACCCCGAAAAAACTCGCAGCAAATCTGCTTCGTCGCCCAAAAGATCCAGGTGTGGAGATCGTCTTTCGTACCCTGGTAACCTACGGCAGAAGGCTAGCATGATGGTCACTATACGGGAAACACCACCATCTTCTTATGAATTCACTACTTGATTTATGGAGAAAACACAAAACCATAATAAATGTACACATTCCTCTCGGAAGCATATTTTCTTCTTCGTTTGATTTAATTTGATTTGTTCCAGTTATTTATCATAAAAAAATTGTAAAAAGAATACGTTGCGTACGAAGGGGTAGTGCAATCTGCGAACGTTTACTAGAGTTCATTTCTATACTTCTTTTTTGTAGAAATCTATTTTAAATCTTGGTTAACTCAATTCTATTTTTCTACGACGCTGACAGCAAAGTTTACTCGCCATTTAGCTTCAAATAATGTTTTCCTCTTTTTTTAAAGCTTCATGGTATTCTAATCGACTTTCTGATAAAAGTATATTTTTTAACAGAAACACTTTGTAAGACTTTGTAAACTCAAATATCTTCCTCTACTCTGCTCCTTTCGACGTTTTCTGTGAATTCCAACTTCCATATTTACTGTATAAATTTCTCAATTTTCCTTCTCCCACTTTTTTGCTTTGCCTCGTAACGTATCCCAAAATATTTTAAGTTCCTAAAATGATGATGCTGATCTAAACTTCTTTAAAGTACGTAACCAAGACAATCTACCACGTTGTAGCATATCTAAAGTAGATGGATGTAATTAGACATAACACAATGACATATAATATCGTCGCTGGGAGACAAGTCGCCTTGAAAAGAATAACACAAACTGGCGTTTTATTCAAAGCATAGATAAAATCATTTTAATTTGAGAGTGAGTCATTTCAGGTAGTAAAAAACACCAACATGTTCTTCATAATATTAGCAATAAAAACATATTTCCGTTTGGCTTCAGAAGCCCAGATTCCTGTAAAAAGTATGCACATATGTATTGGCATTTTAAGGTCGGATTAATCCTACTTTTGCCAGCTGGTAGTGTTCCCAGGCCTTTAAGGACGGCCAGTAACACGTATATCCATCATCGTATCTACATCACAATTGGCCTGTTTGAGATTTTCTTTCCTCAAGAACTTTTTGTAATTTTCCTTTTACAACACAACTTGAATAACGCCGGATCTTTATGAGCATTCTCAAGACTCGAAGCGCTGTTGTACACTCGAAAAGTCATTAGCGTGATTTGTACACTACGAATGCTCTAACATTATGACGGCTGCACTGCGAAGTAATTCTTGGAATGCACTGCAGTCCAGACACTACAATTGGGCCGCGTGTAATACAAGTCTGTCGTATTTTGCATCCGAATTCCATCAATTCACAAATTTTCGTGTTTTTTTTCGTTTGTATCCGAAAAAGTATTTTTTCTTCTTCTGGAACCCTTAGAAATATCTTCTGATCTTCGACTCACTATAAACAAATCTTCTGGACGTTATAGCAGAAGTGGAATTTTTTTACGTAAATCGTATAAATTTATACTTCAACGAAGAAAATGAATTTTTAGAGTGGAAAAATAATACTCGAATATGCCTACGGCATAGTTATTCCTCTGCAATGACTCAAATCGTTAGTCCTGTGGTATCAGCAAACGCAAATAGAATATAATTGCTGATAAATACAGCTTTTACAGAACGCAAGTTCACACTTTACTTACAACGGTGGAAGAAGAAATAAGGCAGACGATCACGTATAATATGTTTAATGTTTAATTTAAAACTAAAAATAGTATAACTAAGAAAACTTCGCTTACGTTATAACAAAAAACAAGCATTATTTTGTGTATTTTATTTTTATAAATTCTTGCTACAAGCGAATGTGATATTTTATGGATCCTTTCTTTCAGGGCGAAAATATGCGATGCTGAAACTGAAGATATTATTATCAACTATTTTGAGGAATTTCAAAATATATTCTGATATCGAAGAAAAAGATTTCAGATTGACAGGAGACATAATTTTAAAACGAGCTGAAGGATTCCAGATCAGGCTTGAACAACGTCAGGAAAAAAATCTAACACCTGCTGCATAAATTCTTGTAATAAAGTTATTTTATCCATAAAATGTTTGTGGATAAGAAATGAGACAGAGAAATGATTAACAGTTGTGTTGGATATGAAATCCCTCAATGTTATCTCACAACAACGTTTTCATATATAGTGTGCGTTTAGTTCGTTTGATGCACTAAACGCGTCAGAAATGTTTCTAATAGTGATAGGTTAGGTAGCTTCTATAGCATGTAATCAGTGCTTGTTTCCATGAAGTACGAAGTAGTTATACACAGTTTCGAAATACGTCATTTTCTAGAATTTTACTAGATATTAAATAGTAATATGTAACCTAATGATGGTTTATGCTTCAATGTTGTTTGCTTTTATTCTACGTTATTAGATTCCACTAAATGAAAGAAGTGCATGAGAATTTGAATTCGGAAAGAAATCTTATAAAAGACATTAGCTTTGACGTTCTTAGTACATCATTTGACTTTAACCAAAACTTTGATGCATCAGTTCGTTTGAATGAATTCTTCGTATTTATAATTAAACTTGTGATAATTCTAGGCTCACTTTGCTAAAATTTCGAAATACGTATTGCATTCCGTTGCATTGATGAAAACACAGATCTGACAAAGTCTAATAGAAAATCCAATTGTACGCCTGAACGAGTGAAATCATTCATCTCGGTCAAATCCCAATTATCATCACGGACTAACATTTGACAGCTTTTCGTAAGTCGTGGTGAGAGAAAATGATTAGGATACGATAGTTTCTAGATAAAGATTGTGCTTCATCCTAGAAAAAGGGACACTTACAAATTTTGCAGGCTCATAAAAATTGAAAATGAATGAGCTTCAATGCCTGCATGCGCAAGGCCTTTCAAAGAGTAATCCGTCCATTGAGTGTGTGATATGCTTTAGCTGGTGAGGCGATTTATCCGGCGACTATTAGTTTATATATATATATATATATATATATATATATATATATATATATATATATATAAATCAAACGTTAGTTCTTGTATATAGTATATATAATTTGTTCTGAAATGGTGGTTAGCATGAGTCAACCAAATCCACTGCCGATTTTTATTGTTGTTCAAATTACTGCCATTTCCAATTGCTAACAAAGAGCAAAGTGAAACATAATTTGTGCAACAATACATTAAATTTAATATTTGAGAACTTGATTAAACAGTGGCATTGTTTTACCTTACGTCGCGTTTACAACTCTACTAAGACTTACTCTTCCTGGTCGTTTGGAGATATCTCCGTCGGTCCTAGATCGCAGGGACGAACCCAGTTGATCGTGTGAGTTTCTTGCGGGTAAACGCTCGCATAAATTCCTTCTGCAAGGAAAAAAGGGGGTGATGACATGTAGTGATAAACATTATGAAAAGAAGAGATACTTTTCTCTGGAATATCCAATTATGTGGAATGTGTGACTGCTTAAAATAAATTCACAGCAACTATAAAATTATTAATTCACGTATCTTTTGCAATGTAATTAAAAGGCTGCAATGTGCTATTGAAAATAGCTCCGCTGTATTGCGCGCGACTTTTCCACGACAACGGAAAAGGGAAAATGCTTAGTTTTAGAGTAAGTGAATATTAGGATTGATTTCTTATTAGATACTGACAAGCGATGGATCGTAAGTTAACACAATTTAATTATAAAAATGTAATGTAATTATTAGAAACGTAATGTATTTACTAGTTGCAAATATAAGGTAAGCGTAGAACGTACTGTAGATTCTTATTTGAGAAATTTAGATATTCTCAAAATTAGAGAATGCTACATACTATATTTTGTCAAAAAGTAGTCAGGATCTGAAATGCATTCCTTTGGAACGTTTTCAAATATATAAAGTTGCCAGAATCTTGCCACCCATAGTACAGATACTCGTAGTGTAGAATTAGTGTAGCTGACGATAGTTGAAATTTGAAAACGATTTCTTTCGTAGAGTGTAAAGCGTAGTTTCCGTTAAAAAATTATAAAACTTTAAGGAAATATTTCATGTTATTCACGTTATTTCTTCTAATAGAAAAAAAAGTGAAAAATTCTCAAATCATTTAGTGGCGAAGAAGGAACTAAGATAGAAGTGGGTTACGCAATAAATAAATCAGCACGATATAGAAAACCTTTGGGATATTTGCATTACTCCAACTAGAGTTCAATTAAACAGATTTAATTTGATTTATTTTATCAAAGAATACTAAAAAATATATATAAGGAAATACTTCCACAATTATTAGAAGCAAATTATTTCACATACAAGTAGTTAATATGTCAGTTTAATTAAGAAGAAATTTCATGTTTAATCACGTTATTTCTTTTTTCTCTAAAAGAAAGAATATTTCATTTCACAAACATTTCTTCATTATTTACCTTTCTTTGCCACGCAGAATTATCTAGAAACCCAGTAGATGTAAATGAATATGAAGAATAATTCAGAATAGGGATCGTGTAAATATAGCTGTTAAATGAACAATTTTTTAATGTTATTGGCAAGGAAAGCTCGCGGTTGGATTACATCGAGATTTAAATGAAACTGGGTGTTTTTGAAAGACTTCAAAAGTACAGTGAATTACAAAATACGAAGTGGCCCGGTAAACGTGTAACTCATTAGGTTTTATTTCCCAGAACACAAGTATTAAGTCTGTTTTTCAGGCTACTAAATCAAAATGCCATATTCTGCAGGTAGATGTCACATTCAGCATCTACAGAACTTTATATTTACATGACGTCTTGTGAAAGTAAAGCTCGTTTATGGTGTCTGGCGAACCACGCGTTTTTGAAGTAGCTGCCCAAGCCACTAAGGCGGCACCTGATGGGAATCAGCGACAGGCAGCAATGACTGCGAAATCCCGAAATGGAGGCAACGACATCAACATTTGTCAGCTAACATAAAGCCTGGGCCTCAGCCACAATCTCCCTCTCGGCCACATGGAGCCGACAATTGTTCCGGCAAACCTACATTTCGACACTTGGTCGCAATTGTCCCTTGTCACTGGCAGCTATTATTGGCGCCTTAGTGACCTTGTCGACCACTTTAATTCTCGTTGTTCGCCCGAAACCGAAATTCACTTTCCAAGCGATAAAAACAATTTAGTTTTAATTTTATAAGTGGATCTATTATGACTCTATGTTCTGTAAAAGCTTAAATGGCCATCTCTCTACATAATATTAAAGTTTATATCAGTAGTTAAAAAAACACCTTATAGTTGTGATACAAAATTTTGAAAAATACAGGGTGCACGGCCAAAATCCGGACAAATTGAACATTTTTCTTTACCACTATATTTTTTGTTGTAAACCATGAAAAATTTAACAAAAAATGTTTTTACCAGCGTACATCGCAAACGGATTATAGGATCAGTATGCGATATAAATTTAATTCCGTCAGTACATCATATCCCCCTCCACTTAGTGCCTTGAACGAAAACGACCGCCTCTCAATCTGGGTCTGAGCCAACGCAGCTCGCAGGACACCTCACCAGAGGTGGCACCTAAGGCATATTTACGGCTCCATTCGGCGGAACTGCTGCTTCCGGAATAGCGGACTCGGCAGCAGAATGCTACCGTTCGGGTGACAGCCTCTCGCATAGTTGGCAGTGCGACGTTGATTGTCCACCTCGCTCAACCCACGGCCGCAATTCCGATCAATACCATCCATACGGTTTTACTCTGGAGGTTGTCTGGGCGCAAGGCAGAACTCGTCGCTTCGAGACCAAAATACATTGTCGTGAATATGTCCCGTAACTAACCCAATTCTGCACCAAAATGACTCGTCATGGGCGGGCGCACCGTCTTGCCTGGACACATATTGCCTTCCAAATGCTCACTGATCTGTCCATATCACACCGGCTTCACAAGACGTTTAGATAAGACATTCACATAAACCTCCTTTAGGTCACATTTTCCCTTTTTGGAAGAATATGAAGGTGGCCATAACATCACCTTCGGACGAACAACTCCTAGCACGTGCACATTGGCCGGGATATTTGTTCTCGATACACAGGGACATCCTCAGGTCGCGGGGCAAGCCAGCGGTCATTTCTTTCGATTAATTTTTGCGTCTACCGTAAAAATTTTTCTGTCGGAACAAAATCTGATTCGTCCAGCCGCCTTGTTCCGTAAGGAGCACAAAGAAGATTGCACCGTTCAACTCTTCTTCGTCCTGCGCGCCTTCAGAAAGCACTTTGTCGAACTTTGGTGGTGTAGGACTGTTAACGGAGGTCTTCCTGGACAATCTGACGCATAATTGTCTCACTTATTCCGACAAGCGACGCAAATTTTCGGATCGATTGTCCTGGGATCCTCAAAAATCAGTTCTTGAACACGCGTTGAATGACTGCTTGGCGTCCTGACTACGCGCTCCTTCGAGTGCACTTTTCTCGCGGGGTGTTAGGAGACCTTCCTCGACTTTCTCCGATCCTCCTTGTATTTTGCCACGACATCATACAACTGTCGATCTCGGATATCGAAGAAGCTGATAATCTCCGTCGCTGAGCGACCCAGCGCGAACACCTTTCAATTATCGCTGCTCCTTGCGATTGGTATTCTTCGCTTGTGTCTCAACATTGCGACTGTTTTGAGGTTATGTCTCGACTTAGTAGTAATGGGTATGACGGATGCTGATTGCAGCGGTCAGACAATCGCCGACACGAAGTACTCTTAGAGGTAGGCCTATACAAAGCGCGGGAGATTCAAATCTAATTTTGTCCGGATTTTGACCGCGGACCCTGTAGATCTAATGAGTTCACATGGCAAAACACTTTTTTTTTATTTCATTGTGTTTTTAGGTCTTTTAAAGGAACCTAATTCTTTTAGATCCTGGCATCATCCAACCGTGACCATTCCTTATGAGGAGATGGAATGTATGTTGTATATATGTATGTATGTATATATGTATGTAGGTGTGTATATAAGTATGTATGTAGGTGTGTATATAAGTATGTATGTAGGTGTGTATATATGTATGTATGTATGTATGTATGTATGTATGCATGTATGAATGTATGTATGTCTTTATGTGATTCCGGTTGAAATAATACTATGCTCATAGTATACAATGGCTCACTTTCTGACTTTAAACATACTTCCCGTGGGAAACTATGTTTTCTATACACGTAAACTTCCGCGGCTCGAATTTACGACTTCTTGGCT